CATGCCTTCTTGGACATAGTGCCTATAATCCAAACATCAGTGTTAGGGCATCAGAGTTGCAAGGTGTTTCCTTATGAAATAATGCAAATATTCCCGGGAAGAACACTCAGCTATCATCAATCCTTAAGAATTGGCTTGTTAGATTGCTTTTCTTCTCTGACCAGTGGCTATTGAGGAATTATTGTTTTAGTAGAAAGGAAAGAGTGATAATTTTAGGCATTGCACTGTTTGGCAAGGGTAGGCCTGGGTGGGGTTATTGCAGAGGAGAATTTTTGGGCATCCAACAATGTGAGAACAATGGGTACTGGAGAAATGGGGAGGGTTGTCATAGAAGATGAGAGAAAACCCCAAAGAATTTGCAATTTTAGTTACAGATTTCTTTGGTTTTTGATTTGCAAAAATTAGGAAGGTGGGGATCAATCAATCAATCAATCAGTATTTATTAAATGCCTAGTATGTTCCAGGTACCAGTTAGGTGATGGGGACACAGACAAAAATTAAGCAATCCTTGTCTTCAAGGAGCTTACCTTCTACTGGAAAGACAACAATGTGTACAAAATATATAGAAGAGAAATACAAGGCAATTTTGAGAAGGCATTAGCTGCCAGATCAGAGCCTGATGGAGGTATTCCATTGTCTGAGTTTTGATGGAAACTAAAGATTCTGTGAAAGAAGTGAGAAGGGATTGGATTGTGTTTCAGGATGGCACAGACATTTTGTCTCTTTCATAACTAGGACTGATCCCAGCTTCATTAGGGTGCAAGGTAGAGGCCGAAGAAAGTGTATTTTATTTGTGCCCATTGTTTGATCGGTGCTCCAAACCAAATCCAGAGTGGGGAGGGCCACATATATTCCTCCTCCCCAGTTTTTGGCTCCCATAACATGTAATTAAATAAATTACTATGTTTAAGTAAACAGCTTGTATTTCAACTTAGTCTCAAGAAAGAAAAAAAATCAGTTAATTTCAACCAACATTTATTAAGTGCCTATTATGTGCAAAGTTTTGTGTTAGGCATAGAAGTACAATCTTTTCCCTTAAAAAGCTTATGATCTCTAGGTCAGAACAAGGGTTCAGTGAAAACCAAGGAGAGATGGCTAGGTGGTACAATGGATACAGCACTGGACATGAAATCAGGAAAACCTTGAGTTCAAACCTGGCCTCAGGTATTTACTAGCTGTGCGACCTAAGGAAGTTACAGTTTTAACTGCAACTTCATCCTTGGTTGGTTTCTGAGTTGCCAAAATTAGGAAGATGGAAATCAATCAACAAACATTCATTAAGTGTTCTATGTTCTATGCAATTCACTTAATAGCTGTCTGCCTCAGTTTTTCTATAAGTAAAATTATAAACCCAAATAAGTACAATATAAGGCAACAGGCAAAACATAGGAAATAGAGAGAACAGAACCAATGCTGGAAGAAAATTTGAGATTTATTTCATTGATTCAAAATTTTTAAGTATTTTACAATTTGGTCCTCATTTACCTTTCCAGCTTTATTATACATTATTCCCTTCACAAGCCTAGCCTAGCCAAGTTGGTCTTATTGTTCCTCATGCCTAACACTTCATCTTGGGTCTCCTTGCCTCTCACTGGCTATCTGCCATGCCTGGGATGCACTCCCTTATTGCCTCTGCCTGTCGGAATCCCTTCTTTCCTTCAAGAACCAGCTCAGGGACCACCTTTTACATGAAGCCCTTCCTGAACACCCACCACCACCACACACACACACAAACAGGAACGTGCACACACTCACAAAATACTGGGTATTTATTTTGTATGTGCCTATATATGTACATATTGTTGCACCTAATAAAACTGTAAGCTCCTTGAAGACAAAGGCCTTTTTTGCTGTGTATACCCAGTACCTAGAATAGTGCCTAACATGTATTAGGTACTTAATAACTGGTTGACAGACAAATTTAATGTGTGTGTGTGTGTGTATGTGTGTGTGTGTGTGTGTGTGTGGATCAGGGAAGGCTTTATCAAAGACAAGTCACCTGAATTGACTGGGCCTTGAAGGAAGATAAGGATTTTAACAGGCAGAAATGAAGAGGGAGTGAATTCCAAAGATGATGGACAGTCTGTATTAAAGGGCAAAGGTGGCTGACAGCCAGATGCGATCTAGAATGGCTAGGAAATTCACTTTGGCTGAAACCCAGAGTGAGTGAAGGGGAATAGTATGCAATAAGATTGTAGAATCCAGTTGGAGACAGACTGTAGAGGGCCTTAAATACCAATCTAAGGAATCTGGGTTTTATTCTTTAAGGCTCCCCCCACCAAAGGGAGCTCTTGAAGGTTTGTTGTTGTTGTTTTTTTAGGGAGGCAATTGGGGTTAAGTGACTTGCCCAAGGTCACACAACTAGTACGTGACAAGTGTTTGGTCTGAGGCTGGATTTGAACTCAGGTCTTCCTGACTTCAGGGCCGGTGCTCTATCCACTGCACCACCTAGCTGCCCTGAGCTTTTGAAGGTTTTTGAGCAAGTAAGTGAACTGGTCAGACTTGTACATCAGGAAGAATATTTTGACATCTGTGTGAAGGAGAGTTAGAGAGGGGGAAACTAGAATTATGAAGGTCAGGAAGTGATTTCAATAGTCTGGGTGATAGGGGGTGAGAATCTGAACTAATGTGGTGACTGTGAGAGGAAAGGAATGGTTGTGAGAGACAATGAGTTGTAAACAACAGGGCTCAGACACTGAGTGTATGTGGAGTTGGCTATATAGATTTCGCAGTCATTTGTTTAATGGTGGTAACTGAAAACATGGGTGCTGAGATCACAAAGGGAAAGAGTGTAAAGGAGGGGGTCAAGGTTAAACCTTAGGGGGAGGGGGAGAAGATGGAGAGAGCAGAGAATCAGCAAAGAAGGCCAAAAAAGGACAATCAGATAGGAGAACCAAAGGAAATAATGTCATGGAAAGACTGAAAATAAAGAATATCAAGGAAATGGGGGTTATATTGTATTGTACTGGTTAACAGTATCAAATGGCACAGATTTAGTAACTATGAGGTCATTAGTAACCCTGGAGGGAGTTGTTTTAGTAGAATGGTGGGGCCGTAAGTCAGACTGCAAGAGGTTGGAGAGTTTGAGGAGTGAATCAGTAGTGAATCAGTAGACATAATAATTGCAAACTACTGTTACTAGTAGTTTAACAGCTAACAGAAGATCATAGCTTGAGGAAATGGCAAATCAATGGAAGGTTTCTGTGGGGTTTTTTTAGGACAGCGAAATCTAAGCAGGGTTTTGGGATATGAGAGGAAAACACTGAATACAGAGGTGGGAATGTGTGGTACAACTGATACCCAAAGGAGATGGGGAGATAATGGACATACATAAGTAGAGGAGTGTCAAGTATCAGCCTGGCTAAGGACAGCCACCCATTTGGCTGTTTGCCACATAAGACACTGTGTCCCCTGCCTCTGTGCCTTGGCACAAGCTACCCTCCCTTCCTGGCATGCTGTCCTTCCTCACATGTCTCTTGGAGTCTCCAGCTCTATTCAAGCTGAGACTTTCTGATCTGCCATTATCAGCACTCTCTTCTTTACTAAAATGATTTTGAACTTATTGGCTGGGTACGTAAGCCTCCAGAAGGATAGAACATAATTTCCTTGAGGACAGAGACTTTCATTTTTGTCTTTGTATCTCTGGCACCAAGCACAGGGCTTTCCACCCAGTGGGTATGGAACTGCTTGAGTAATTGAGCTGAATCTTCTAAGATTGTATCAAGGGAGGATAGGATGGGTGAGGACAGAGAGGTTCTGTGTATGAAGAGAAGGTGAGCAAATTAAGACCTTCAGTCCTCAGTTGAGTAGAAGTCATCTGCTGAAAGGGTGCTGGTGAAGTCAAGGGCTTGAGGGGGACGTTTGGAACAACCACTGTAAGTAGTATGATAAGAGTCAGATTGATAAAAGGATTGCAAAACAAGTGGTGAAGGCCTAGTTAAGCCATGAACTGGATAGCTGGAATTTGTAGAGGACCCAGTAAGCAAATATTCGTGACTTCTTCCAGACATTTTGAATTGGCTTGGGAACAAGAACATAAAATGTAGCTGGTGGAGGTGAACCCTGTCTCTCAGCTCAACTCTACAAACTTTTCCCTTAGTTGCCAAGGTTTGCTGGTTACCAAATAATCTACTGTTTTATTGTGACAATCCTCTTTCAGCGAAGGGAAATGAAGCAATTAAGTCCCCTTATGTGGTTTGCCTAAGATTGATTGCTCTGCATCTCAGTGGCAAACTGTGGACTGAACCTTTGGTGCTCTATTCTTGGGACTAGAGGGCACGTCTCACAAGAACAAAGTCTTGTGAAAGAAGACTGGTCCCCTTGCACTCCTTTTTCTACTTTCTTCTAACTAGATGTATTTGTTTATAAATTTTTAGCTGATCTTTAATTCCTAGACTGAACTGGCACTGAAACTAACTTATGTGGCCCGAATGAACTGCTTCATGTGGTGAGACGTAATTTAACTTTTAAAAAAAGGAAATTAGGTTTTCTTGATTTTATCTGTTTTTAATCTTCAAAATTGTATTATGAATCAATTCTTACATTTGTAGAAGTGTTGATAAATAACAATACTTGCTTTGTCTTTGAAAACTAAGAATAGTTATGACTCAGATATCGAATCTTGGCTAAATAAATGGGCAGTTAAACTTCTACAGTTTTACTACCTTCTAATTAACTATCCTCTATTTAAATAATTGCATTGATATTAAATAAAACATGAAAAATATGCATATTCCATAAATATTCTCCTGAACATCATAATATAGTGAAGCACATAATATACAAGATTTTTCCAAGAAGCTGATAGCTGAAAAGCATAAACAATACACAATGGTTGTAATGGGGCCAGCACCCAAACACAGAGGCCCAGGCAGGCACAGTTCACCCCAGTGACTCATCAGGGTACCCACCCACTCTCCTTCTGGCTGTCCCCTTCCCCCCACCAACTAGAGGGTTAGAGTAAAAAAAGTGGGGGGGGGGAGGGATAAACCACAGCAATATAATCAAAGGAAAAGGGAAAAAAGCAACCACAAAAAGACTTTTAAAATTAGGAAAAGGTAAAATCATGCAATAAAAAAGACAATCATTTGCAGAGGCTGTTGGGTCAAACTAACAAAGAAATCCTAGAAATGAGGGTGCATAACGCTCAACTAATAATATGACGTACACAGAATCCAAGAAATTCTGCCAGCAACTCTCCTCCATTTTTAAACTCTAAAAAATATCTGAAATGAGATTGAGGTCATAGTTGTAGACCTGGAAAGGCCCCCGGGGGTTCACCTGATCCAATCCTCTCATTCATATTTTAGAAAGCAGAGGCCTGGAGAGGTTCACTTATTTACCCAGGGACATGCAGGCACTGAGTGGCAGAAGTGGGGTGTGGTCTTGGGTCAGTTACTTCCAAATCCAGCTCTCTTTCTACTACCCCACATATAGGGTCCCTTTCACATTAGCTGTGGTTAATGGCCAGGAATCTGAAGATACGTTTTCATCTTTGACTGACCAGTTCTTCCCTAAGACCGAAAAATGAACTACGTGCTACAACTATCCTCTTTTTAACAAAAGTGGTATCTCCTCAAATGTATTCCTCCTGCCAAGCTACCCTGTACCCAAAGTTGATGTACCATTTCCATTTATGCAATAATGAAATAATCTATACAGGCAAAAATCATTTAAAAAGTGACATGATTTTATACATAAATTCAAAGAAATTTAGGCTCTTCAGCTTTTGCAAAAAAGAATTCTGAACTGACTTTGCTACCAAACTGTCAGCAAAATATAATTTGTGCTGTCAGTGTGCTAAGCATTCATTCATTCCAGGGAGAGTTGTACACTGTCAGTCTGGTTTTGTGGCTGCTGATAATCATATTTCCTTGCTGTTAAAAAAATAAAATGAAAAAAAGATAGAAGCAGTTTAATGACATTTATTATTAAAATAATAAAAGCAACTGGTCATTTGAGTTAACATTATTAAAATATTATTCAACTAATGAGTCTCTCTATAAGGAATTAGTAATAGTTTTGAATTAAATTAGCATGCAATTCTACTTCTTAAGTGAAAGCTAATCTACTTTATATTTCTCTCATTTCCAGACATATATCTTCAAATACATAGTAGCTTGTTCTGTACATATCAGGCTTATTTAGGATATTAATATACAGTATAATAATAACTCATTTAGAGGGTATTTGGGACCACAAAGGGACTTTAATACATTATTTAATTTGATCCTCAGAACAGTACTATGGGGTAGATTGGTAGTGTACTACTTTATTCCCATTTTATAGATGAGAAAATTGAGACTTAACTTAAATGCCCAACATCACATTTTTAGCAAGAAACAACATATATATGAGCAAAGTTCTTTTAATTAAAACTTAATAGTATAAGTAAAAATTATTTCTCTTACCAAATGTATTCATATGATAAATTTTCTTCTTCCTACAATACTTCTACTTTGGGGTAAGTAAATAATAACTTTTTGTCAATTCTTTGGGGAATTTGCCAACACTTTAAATGACAAGTATGATGACACATTAACTTATATTTTGTCTATGGCATAAAAAAATGTCATTGAGGACATGTATGGCCAGAAAAAGGAGGCAGATTAGTCACAAGGGAAGACTAACAGATGGACAATTTCAGTGCTTCACTGATATCCGAGGAGGATGAAAAGAGTCAGCAGCTTGCTGAACATAGTGGATAGGGGACTAGACTTGGAGTCAAGAAGTCAAGCCAACAAGTCTTAACTAAGTACATCCTCCATGCCAGGCACCATGCTAAGTGCTGGGGCTAGAAAGGCAAAAACAAGCCTAGCCCTCAAGGAGCTTACAGTCCAACAAGGGAGACAACATGCAAACAACTTTATTCAAACAAGACACAGACAGTGGAAGTGGAAGGTAATCTCAGAGGGAAGGCACTAATATCAAGGAGGAGTGGAAATGCTTTCTTGCAAAAGCTGGGATTTTAGCTGAGATTTAATGGAAGCCAGGGAAGGCCAGAGGTGCTCCTGGCTCTGCTTCTGACTTTCCAGACTTTGTCATCTCAACCTGGAAATCCCCATTCACTCTGCCAGTCCCTTTCTCCTACCGGTGAGTTTCTCCTGGGGCCTCCGTTTTGGGGAGGGGCCTAGGCTGGCTAACCTTCCCTTTAAGGCTCTGGTTCTCTTTCCAGATTTTGATACCTTGCCTCATCCCCCTCATCTTCCTTTCCTTTACTCTCTGCTTTTCAGATCCTTTTTGCCTATAGTCTTCCCTCTTAGAATGTAAGCTCCGTGAGGGCAGGGAATGTCTTCCTTTTTGGCTGTATTTGTATTCTCAAAGTTTAGCACAGTGCATGGCACACAATAAATATTTATTAAATCTCCATGTTACCTTGGAGATGAGGAGAGTAAGGATTCCAGGCCTAGGGGGCAGCCAGTGAAAAGGCATGGAATAGGGAGATGGAATGTTTTGTTTGATTGTGCTAAAGCTGTATCATGTTCTGGTCCACCCCAGCACCCCACTTCCCCTCCTAATCAGTTATTATGTAAATTTTATGGGTAGCCAGTAAAAGGAGCAATAGCAGGAAGTAAGATTACAAAGGGGAACCTGGATATAATGTACAAACTGTCCCTAAGCTCAAAGGAGCATAATTTACAAATTCTATCATATATTAACCAAAATTCACATCCTAGTAATATATGCCCAATCAGGAGAAACCATCTAGGCAATGATGTCAAGATTTTGGTTCTATGATTCGTAAATTACAGATAAACTCCAGACCTCCCCACCTCTAGACCAGCAGAACATCAAAAAAGCGTTGATAACTTTGGGATAATGACTTTGAAGTTTTATTGATAACTTTGAGATGATCTGGATCCCCAAGATGGCATAGACAGGAGTTGGTGTTTCCTCAAAAAACCCTATAAAAATGAGACCTCAAACTCCTGCCCCCTGAGCCCTCTTCCATCTCCTAAAGGCCCTTGCTACCAAGTACTCCCAACTCCAATCCTCTATTACATAAATAACTCATCGCCTCTCCATCCCTTTTCTTCACGCTGCTGGCCCTCCTTCACCACCCCATTAACTTCCCCTTCCCTTCCCTCCCTCCTCCTCCCCCGTCCCCACGTCATGTGCCTCTATATCCCCACTTTTCATTGCTTCTCTTCGTATTTCCTTTGCTGTTAGTTCTTACACCCATTTTAGTTATTAAAGTATGATTGTTACCCTGTTTTGCCACTGCCAAGTATGGTCTTTCCTGACAAGTATCCAAAGAACCCTGCCCCTATTTCATAATTTCATAAGTTAATTATCAATGCAGTGATGGACAACAAGAAGGCCAGGGCCACTGGGTTACAGAATAAATGGAGAAATAAGGTGTAAAAATGACTGGAAAGATAGGAGGAGGCCAGGTTATAAAGGGCTTTGAATGCCAAACAGAAGATTTTATATTAGATCCTAGAGACAATAGGGAGCCACTGTAGTTTATTAAATGGGTGAAGGGGGAAGAGATGGTGACATAGTCAGACATGGGCTTTAAGATCACTTTGATAGCTGGGTTAAGCATGTACTGGATCATATATCCAGTACTGGGTGTAACAGAGAAGAGACTTGAGGTAAAGAGATCAACCAGAAGGCTACTGAATGTGAGTGCTTGTATTAGGGTGGTAGGGGTATCAAAGAAGAGAAGGAGCCAACGAGAGATGCTACAAACAGAGAATCAACAGCACTTCGAAAGAGACTGGATATGGAGAATGAGAGAGAAGGGTCAAGGAGGACACCTAGATTGTGACTGGGTGACGAGGAAGATGGTAGTGCCTTTGACAGGAACAAGGAAGTTAGAAAGAGGAGGGTGGGGGGGGCATAATTAGCTCAGTTTTGGGCAGGTTGAGTTTAAGAACAACTTAAGAGCCTGCCTCAAACACTTATTAGCTCTATGATCTTGGGTAAGTCAATTAACCCATCTGTGCCTTAGTTTCCTCATCTATAAAATGAGATGGTTGGATTCAATGCCTTCTACAATCCTTTCCAGCTCTAAATCCATAAACTGGAGAAAGGCCAATAGTGCATAGTGTAGATCTTCTATGGAGGAATTACAGAAAGATACAGGAACAAGAAGAGCAAACAATGAGAACTCATGAAAAGTTTGCAATCTATCAGTGGCAGAAGTAATACTAATAACAGTAATATTGATAACAATAGCTAACATTTCTATAGTTCTCACTATGTACCAGGCACTGTGCTAAGGGCTTTACAAATATTATCCTATTTGAGATTCACAACAGCCCTGGTGGGTGGGTGCTATTATTATCCCCATTTTACTGAGAAGGAAAGTAAGACTGATAGAAGTGAAGTGATTTGCCCAGGATCACATAGCTAGTAAGTATCTGAGGCCAGATTTGAACTCAGGTCTTCCTGATTCCAGGCCTGGAACTCTAATGCACCACTTCACTGCTTGTAACACCAGTTAGATCATGGATCCATTAAAGTATCAGTATCTGTAATGCCAACCTTATTAAAAACAAAATTATACAGATATATCTTTAGTTAATTTGGAACTTCTACCCCAAATCAGAGGAAGTGAACATGTAACGTAGCACTTAAACATTAGAAATTCATATTTTCCTCTAACCGAGTTTTTGAGAGTTATTATGTTCAATATTTAAATATGTGAACTGTCCAAGTCCCAATGCTAATGGATACAATCCAAACAGAAAACATACTCATGTAACTCTAGAGCTCTGAAACAGAACCCACATACTTACAAATAGAATACATTTCTAGTTGTTGCCTTAAACGGATTTTGCTCATTGTGTCATAGAAGTTGGGCTCCGTCAAAGTTTCTGACATAGGAGGTACACTGAATATTCTCATGATTTTCCTTTTATTCCTAAAACACACATTGAAAAGTAATTAGAAATGTGAAAGACAACAAAGAACGTCTTTTCATATAATGTTATTCTTTTTATTTATTTATTTTTTTTTGGTGAGGCAGTTGGCGTTAAGTGACTTGCCCAGGGTCACACAGCTAGTTAAGTGTCAAGTGTTTGGTTTGAGGCCGCATTTGAACTCAGGTCCTCCTGACTTCAGGGCCAGTACTCTATCCACTGCGCTACCTAGCTGCCTCTAATATGTTATTCTCCTGTCCCTAATATTCAAAAGAATTAATTTTGTATTTAAACATGATTTCATTATAATCTGTTCGTTCCACCAAGTGACTAGGTCACGTCATCTGTGAAAGGGAAGAAGACCAGTGTGCTACTTTGGCCCCTTCTCTGGCTCAGGTATATCTACAAAGGGTAGACTTTATAAATCCACGTAAGAATTTCCATTCTATAATTCAAGCAACATCTGTCCCTGGTCTCTCATCCTTATAACAGCTCATATCTGTACAGAACTACAAGGCTTATAAAGGCCTTTCTCCACAGTTATAGAAGGTAGGTAGTCTAAGTATTATTATCTCCATTTTGCCAATGAGGAAACATGGGCTCAGAGAGGGAAGTGGCTTGCCCAGGATCACATTAATAAATGGCCAAGATTTCATAACTTTGTGGAGGTGGCATTTGATCTGGGGTGTGAAGGATGGGTAGTATTTCAGCAGCTGAAGGTGAGGAAGCATAAGGCATTCTGGGAGTAGGGAACAAAGGGAACATTGTGAACGAAAGTGGATCTGGAAAAAGGTAATTTATGGGGGAGGGAGAGTACTCCAGTTTAGGAGGACAGCAGTAGCAGGAAGTCCCCAGTATCAAGATATCTTGAATTCAAGTCATGAGAGATTAGGCTAAAAAGAGAAGCAGAAGAAATTAAACCAAGTGATAGAATACAGACTCTTATTGGTGAATGTCTCATGTGGCCCACTATAAATATCCAGGACAATGCCAACCATGCTTTACTTTATTCCCAAACATGTTACCTGCTTAAGGGCTTAATCTCATCAGCTCCAGAACTCCTGCCCTCCGGTCCTCCGGATCTGACTGGTTCCACTCACCATTCCTCTAACTTTCCAAACAAAATTACCCTCCCTGGCCACCACACCCCTATATTGAATATAAGTTCCTTGAGGGTAAGAAATGCCTTTGCTTTTATATTTTATTCCTAGTATTCCTAGTAAGTGCCCAATAAATATCTTAATTTATTCATTCACAATATTTAAACCATCAAGAAGATTACATTCCAATGAGAAGAAACAACCCATATGGGGGTGTAGTGGCCAGGGAACAGTGTTTTAGTATGGGAAGTCAGAGAGATGGTGAGGGGAATGACAGGGCAGTTAAGTCACATACTCTTTGCAGAAGCAACAGTGATATTGGTTTGATTATCAATCAATGGTATTACGGATTACTTTTCCACATCAAGAGGTGAAAAGTCCCATAATCCACATACTTTTAACTATTTGAGTTATTATGACATCCAATTTTCACATCTAATCTCATGTTTTTATAAACTTACCTTCTGGCATACATGAAAAGGCCAAAGCTAACAAGAATCACTATCAGGTACACATTGGTGGCCTCATTCCAGGCTTCATGAACAGTGTAATCAATAGAGCCATCATCTCCCATCACTCCATAACCTCCAGCCATGTTACTATAATAGAAAAAATAAATTATATTTTCTTATGGTTATGTTGCTAGGACTGGCCACTTAACTAAATCCTACAATTTAATTTTTATTATCCGCAACTTTCCAAGACTTGTCCTAGGGGTGATGGTTCTGGCTTCTTTGAGCAGCAGTAAAGGAAGCTGGTTGGGATGGTCAGTGCACACTTTCCAAATCTTAATCTGACCAACAATGAAGATAAAGGCAGCAGGGCACTTTAAAAGAGCAGACCAAAAGGGTTCTGGCTATGATGCCAATGCTGCAAAAATGATACCAGCCTTGAAAATATTTGGTAGTCCTAATACTGCCAGTGAGAATTTTCTAGGTACTGAGGGGGTTAGAACTCTCTCCTCCACATGCTTCATTATATGGATAGAAAAGTTGTTTTGCTATTTATCTGATCTGCTATTTATGTCCTCTACTAAAGTTCTGTGCTGATGATCATCATGGCACGGAGGTCACTCTGGAGTCTCAAAGGCCACCAAGTTTTTCCAAATTGGAAAGACTTGAACTGGAGCACAGGCCCAAAGAAGGATCATATGTTTGTTGCCAGGGGACCAGGTTGGCTTCAGAGCGAAGAATTTTTAGTCACAGGAACTTACTAAGACTTAAGAGAGCTTGTGATGTGCTTCAGGAGCAGTACTCGCAATGATGAAATCATTGTATCCTTGAAGCTAGTTACATTACTTCCATACTCAAAACCCTTCAAGGGCTCACTAGTGTCTACAGGATAGAAGTTACTTAATATGGCATTTGAGTTCCTCTACAATCTAGCTCCAGGATATTTTTCAAGCCTTATGTCATTATATGGCACTGCCCAAGTTCTACATTAGAGCCAAACTAGACTATGGGGAATTTTCTGATCTTATCCTACCCTTTTACACCTTTATGCATTCACACAGGACATCTGCCATGCCTAGAAGGCACTTTCTCGTCATCTCCACCTATAAATATCCTTCTCTTCTTTTAAGATTCAGTGTAGGTGCCTTGTTCATTCGTGAAACTTTTCCTCAGCAAGCTTTATGTGACCAGAAAAGTGACATGGGCTCGAGGGTCTCCGACACCGCCTTCATGACCCCAGACAAGTTGCTGAGTCACCTGAGGCCTCATCTGTAAAATGAAGGACTTGGACTAGATGACTTCTCAGGCCCCCCCAACTTTGATGCTATCATCTTTTTGATACTAAGATGGCCTCAGGGATCCCTTCCAGGTTTATATCTATCATCCTGTAATCTCCCCTTTCTTATACTTCTCAACTCATTATCTAAACCCCTCTTCTGCCCTAACATTTTGCCTTTTATCATACTTGTTATCCCCCCCCTAAGTTATCTGGTTAGTGTCTACTGATTTTCATCTTTACACCTATAACAATTAGGACAGGGTACTTATACAAGGTAGGTCTTAAATAAATCCCTAAATAAATGTTGAACTCAAGTTTGTCTTCTACTCAAAGGAAATATCTTTTCCACTTGATGTTTTCCACTAAAATTACAATCAATAGCTCTTATCCAAAGCAAATGAAACATTAAGGCAATAGTTTTATTTTTATTAAGTAGTTACTTAAATCCTTCCATGAAGACTGTTGTTGAATAGTTTAAAATAGAAAATTTTCCATAAAATGTTATAATATCTAATGGAAGTCCATCTAGTTATTATGAACATCAACAGAAAAAAGGCTAAAATTGAACAGGTGATGACTGTTACTATAGATGAGTCATTCATTTTCTGATACTGAAAATATCTAGAATGTCTAAGATGTCCTTTTTGCAATTTTCTCTGTACTGCCTATAGCAATGGAAGTACTGCACTGATTATTATTCCCCTAAATGAATATTGTTAACCCTTCTTCTAAGTTTTCAAAACGGTCCATTAGGGTAATTCATCAACATGGTTTTAGAGTTAAAGAGTATTTACTAAGTGCTAGGTAGGTTGCCTTTCCTGAAGCTTGCACCTTGTGTGAATGATGTTTCTCAAAACCTATTCTTAGCTACAGAACATTTAATAATAATTGATGTTTATCCAACACTCTAGGGTTTGTAAAGCTTTTCTCATACATTCTCCTTTCATCTTCACAGCCTATGAGAGAAGTACCATAACTATTATTTCTCTTTTACAGATGACAAAACTAAGGCTCAGATAGAGTCACATGACTACTAAGTACTAGAGATAGGAGGCAGGAGGAACCTTGGCTTCTCTAGGCTCCAAAATTCTTCAAGCCTAGCCCTTATATCACTAAATCACATTGCCTCTCATTTAAAACCCTAGCTGATGTTTTTGGATGTCCTGAACTAGCTTAAATTCAGTAGGTACTATGTAAGGTTAAGTTTAACTTGGTTAAAATTAGGGTGTTGGGTATGTGAGCACTTACTTTAAAATCAATTTGTATTTTGATATGTATGAAGATATGTCCTCTGGAAATTAGGCAGAAGGAAATAGAGCACCAGGCCTATAGTCAGGAAGACAAGTTCAAATCTGGCCTCAGACACTTACTTACTTGTGTGACCCTGGGCAAGTCACTTAACTTTCATTTATCTCAGTTTCCTCATCAATAAAATGAGGGTAATAATAGCACCTACCTCCCAGGGTCATTGTGAGGATCAAATGAGATAATAATGGTAAAGTGCTTAGCACAATGCCTGGCACATAGTAAGTGCTATGTAAATGCAAATTAATATTATTATTATTATTATTATTATTATTATTAAGTAGAAATATATAGATGTTAGAGATGCTATACCCACATACTATGTTATATATAATTGTGTTGAACTACTTCTTCTTCAAAAGTCTGGCTGTAGATTTTCTTCTGAATAGAAGCAAAACAGGTTTCTTCTTTTAAAAAAAATGTTTTAAGTGGGAAGGAAGCAGCGGTGTCTCAGTTGTTCAGGATTTGGCTGATACATTGTTATGGTCCTGTTTAATTTCCTATTCATTCAATTTAACTTGCTATACACAAGGTACAGCTTATATTCTCATACTATTCACACTGATAGTAAATGCAAGATAGTCTGAGGAAGAAAGCACTAAAACTAGGGGACTGAGGAAAGACTTCACTTAGGAGATGGCACCTAAGCTGAGCCTTGGAGAAAGAAGATTCTGAGAGGAGAGACATATGTGAGTGCATTCCAGGCATGGGTGTTGACAGCCTGCGCTGAAGCATGAAGGCAGGAAAAGGCATGTCCAGTTCAAAGAACTGTGCTCTGGTTGGGTTAGAATAGAAATTATGAGAAACAAGGCTGGAAAAATAGGTTAGGGTGGACCGAGACCGTAAAGAACCCTCAGTGCTAGGCTGACGAGCTTCTACTTTAGGAGCCACTAACAGGTTTTTGAACAAAGGAGTGAAATGATCAGACCTCTGCCTTAGGAAGATGAGTTTGACAGTTCTGTGAAGGATAGACTGGAAAGGACAGATCAGAGGCACTGAGACCAATTAGGAGGCTATATAATTTTGTACAGGCAAGAGGTGATGGAGAACTGAACCAAGGTGGAGATTTTATGACTAAAAAGATAGAGACAGCTGTGGAAACATGGAGGCAGAATCAATAAGACTTGGTAACTAATTAGATACTGGAGGTGAAAGAGTCAATGAGGAATATAGCTCAAACAATAGAAACAGAAATCCTGAAGGGATGGGATAACGAGTCACATTTTTAACATCAGGTTTTTTTTTTTTTTGAGATGTACATGAGATATCCACATGGAGACATCTAATAAGCATTTTGAGATGAGGAACTAGAATTCAGGAGAGAGCTTAGGACTAGGCCTAGAGATCTGGGAGTCATCTACCTAGAAAAGATAACTGAATTTAAAAGTACTTAAGACAACCAAGGCAAAGGATGTAGAGAGAAGAGCCTAGGACAAAGCCTCTGAGGACAGCCATGTTGGGTGAAGGAGTTGCATGACACTCTTGAAAAGAAGTCCAAAAAGTAGTCAGATAGACTGCAGAAGAACATTGTTACAGAAGCCAAGGGGGAAGAGGATATGTAAGAAGGGGTAGCAGGAAGTATCAAAAGCTACAGAGAGGTCAAGAAAGATGAAAATTGAGAAAAGGCCCTATTACAATAGCCTGCTGGTACGTCTGCCTGCCTCAAGTCTCTCCCCACTCGACTCCATCCTCCACCCAAGTGTCAAATAGAACTTCCTAAAGCACACGTCTGACCATGTCAGCCCTGTATTCAACTGACTCCAGTGGTCATTACCTTCAGGACTAAATATAAAATGCTCTATTTGGCTTTAAAAACCCTTCAAAACCTGACCCCTTTCCACTTTTCTGTCTTCTTAAACCTTACTCTCCTCTACATATTTTTTTAATCCAGTAACACTGGCCTCTTTGCTATTTGTCAAACAAGACATGCCATCTCCCAATTTTCAGTGCCTTCTCACTGGCTGACTCCAGGACTGGAATTCCTTCCCTTCTCATCTCCACTTCATGGCTTCTTTCAAGTCCCAGCTAAAATCCTACCTTTTACAAGAAGCCTTTCCCAATCCCTCTTAACGCTACTACTTTCCTTATACGATTTTCTCCAATTGATCTTGTCTTGTTTGTATATCGACATTTGCATGTCACCTCCATCCCTCCCCTCACTTCTCCCTCCCCATAAGACTGTGAGCTCCTTGAAAGCAGGGAAGGCCTTTTGCCTTCCTTTGTATTCTCAGTGCTTAGTGCAGTTCCTGGCACATAGTAAGTGCTGAAATGTCAACCGAGTGATTTAAAAAACGAATCCTGTATTGGTAGGACATGATCTGAATCAACTCTCTAGTACATTTATGATGAAAGATTTGCACTGATTTTTAGGCTACAGAGACTCAAATTTGTTTGAGTTGCTGGATGCAGTACTACCACTGTAGAACTGACCTCGGGCAAGTCACAACCTCACAACCTGGTCCTGTTTCCTTATCTGTAAAATTAAGAGATTGGACTGGATCATTTCAAAGGTCTCTTCCAGTTCTAAATTCTATCAACTCATAGTGCTTTTTAAAGCACCTTTCTCACACCATTCCTGTGACACAATAGTACAAGTATTTTGAACTCTATTTGAGAAATGAGGAGACAGGATCAGAAAAGTTATTCATTCCCAGTCAAAGAACTGGAAAGTGGCAGAGCCAGACTTAAGTCAAGTCTTCTGATTCCCAGTCCAGCATTTTTTCTACTCTGTTAACCTTGCCCTCAAACACATTCTTGTATAGTCCCCTATTGTGATCAATTATATGCATTATTAATGAGATGACTAACTGCCAGGAGTATGGGTCTGTGACCATGGTACAGAATAATACTAAGTGATCTACATGGAGATGGACCCTGACCTCAACCAGCTGAGCCAGCTGTATACACAAGCAACTGTTGTGTGGTCAAAGTATGCCACCATAGCCTTCAACTCGAGTTATGGAGCGAAATGTCCAAGGGCATTTGTTCCTATGGCACTCACCTAGCCAGTTAATGTTTCAATGAGATTCCTGATAGACTAGTCATGATTAGAATGTCATTTGGGACTCTCTACAGTGCCAAATGACCTTTGTCACAAACTGTTTTTTGTGAAGGACTGCAGTTATTTCAAAAAGGAGACGAGATGCAGAGATGATAGGCAGATCTGACAAACTCCAGGAAAAAAATCTGATCAGATCAAGATAAAATGGCATAATACAAAGTAGTCAAAACAACTGTGGTCAGGAATTTCCGAGTTTGGACAAGTACATAAGTTGACTTGGGAATCAAACGGCTCTGCCATCAAGTCTTGACCCTGGTACCTTGATTACAGGTCCAAGAAACATATGAAGTTTTCAAGCAGAGGTTTCATATTTGTTGATATACAGAATTTTAAGCTTATGAGAAGGCACTGGAAAGAACTAACGTGCAGTTAACCTTGATTCTTATGTACTAAGGAAATTTTTCAATGAGCTTGTTTCTTGTTGTCTCAGGATCCCAAACATAGGCCTAAAGGATTGTAATGTCAACTACAAATTTGTAAGACCTCTGAATTCTTGCAAAAAGTCAAGAAAAAAGGCTGGGCTGGAAGGTATATTTTAGCAGGGAAAGGTAAAGAAAATATCTAAATTAAGGTGTCTCTCAATGCAGAAACAGGCAGTGAATTCCCATCAGCAGCAGTACCTGGGCTCTTGAAAATAAATGACTGAAATCAATTTGGAGTTACGTGTCTTGTTACTTTAAAAAAATTCCTCTAAAATCAAATAGCTCAGGAAATCTTTTATTAGGATATTAGAACTTTTTTTTTTTGGTTGGGCATCGGGGGTTAAGTGACTTGCCCAGGGTCACACAGCTTGTAAGTGCTATGTGTCTGAGGTCGGATTCAAACTCAGGTCCTCCTGAATCCAGGGCCAGTGCTCTATCCATTGGACCACCTAGCTGCCCCAGGATATTAGAACTGAAAGGGACCTTGGAGTTCTTCTAGTCCAACTCTCATTCAGAAAATTAAGGAAAGTAAAGCTGTAACTCTCCAGTTTTCACTGGAAATGTTAGTGGTTAATCATTTTTTCCCAGTATTTTCTCTAAAATTCATATGGAATGATCACTGAAGGAGAATAGTATAGTATATAAGAGAGCTAGCTTTGAAGACTGGAAACAACTGTACTCTAGCTTTACCACTGACACTAACTGGGCAAGACTTGCCCAAGTAACTCTACCTCTCGGTATTCTAGGTAACCATCTAAAAGTATAAACGGCAAAGAAGGTGCCACTAAAAAAAGGGAATTTCCTTACATGGGAATACCCTGTAACACTGAAATCACTATTGCTATTCCTGTCACCAGAGAAATCTGGGAAACACTGCTTCCTGTGATTCCTGGAGAATTTCAGGAATAAGGTAAACAGGGAAAACTGCCCTTATCACCCAACAAGTTCAGTGGGAAGTGAGGAGACAAAGAGAAGGGTTATGGGAAACCATTAAAAGAAGGGAAATGAAGGCAAGGAAAGAGTCTGGGAGAAAGGGACAAAGGAGGAGGATCAGAGGAAGGGAAAGGATCATGGAGATGTACAAGCAACCTTAGAGGTCATCCAACCTCTTCTTTTACAGAAGAAAAATTAGGAAAACCAAAGATGGGAAATTACTTGAGTAAGGAGGGAAAGAAATGGGGGCTGGAGGGGTGGGAAGGATTACTCAACTAGTAAATATCCCAAGCTGAATATGAACTCAGGTCTTCCTGACTCCTGGTCTATTCTATCCACTGGACCCTGTAAAGCTATCCATAGTGCCAACTTATTTTAAGAGGTGAGGAATCTGGGCCCAAAGTCACACTTAAGGGGGACAGGAAGTCTGGTTTTGAACTCCGATTCCCCCTCCCCTTCCCTTTTTCCCCTATAAGAGACTGGTGACAAGAGAGGGAAGAAAAGGAAGAGAATGGAGTGGGGGAGGGGAGAGAGAAGAAAAAAGAGAGAAGGGAGCAGAAGTACTGGGACAAAGGGACTGGAACAGAGGGCAGGAGACCGAGTGGGTATGGGGGAGGGAGGAAGGGAAAGAGGAGAGACGCAGAAGAAGGAATGGGGGAAAGGGGAGGGAGCGGGGGCAGAGGAGCGAGGGGATAGGGGAGGGAGCAAGGATAAAGGGGAGGGTGAGGCAGGCAGCGCGAGGAGGCGGGGCGAGCCGGCGTAGGGGGCGGGGCCTGCGACCGGTGACGCGGCCTCAGCGCGAGGGGGAAGGAGGGGAAAGGAGGACGGGGAGGGGGGCGAGGGAGGGGAACGACTCCAACTCACGCTCGGGAGGCGGCCCCGGGGCCGGCGTCTCGGCCCGCTCTCGGCCTCTCTCCCCCTAGCTTGGGACCCGGCGCACAGGAATTGCTTAGACCCAGCAGCCCCGGCCGATCCCTGCCGTCGTCATTTCCTGCCGGCCTGTCTGTTTCCGGAGAGGAGGAGAAGCCTGATATAGATTGATATCACCTATACCTGCTTATAGCCTATATGTTAGTTTTTTTTCCTTGTTTTTTGTTTTTGTTTTTTCCTTGTCCTCCCAATTTTTGACCGGGACAGAAGCTGCGGCCTTGGCGCCGCCTCCGGGCGCGTGAGTGGACCCGGGTTCCCCTCCCCCTTCGGACGCGTCACTGCCCCGCCCCCTCTGAAGACCCCCCCCCCCCTTTCCCCCCCCCCCCTCCCCGAGCTGAGGGGGTCCTCGTGAATGGTCTCGCAGAAAGTGCGCATGTCCACCAGAGACCACTTATCTCCCCCCCCCTTTTCCCTTACCCCGAGCCGCGGGCTCAAGGGGAGGGGAGGTGGGGACCCCTTTCTCGAGACCGGGCGGAGCCCTTCGGCCCGCCTTAGGGGGTGTCCCCCTTCGCGGGTAGGTGGAGCTGCGATCCCGCCCTCTGTCCGGCACTTTCTTCCTTCCTTCTTGCTCCGCCCCTTTTCCCCCACACTCGAGGGTCCTGCCAGCGCGTTTTCCCCCTCACGCGCTGTTTCGCCGGAGAGCGGGAAGGGTGGGGTAGGGGGGGCGATTTCCAGCCCCGCCCCCGCTCAGAAGGAGAGCGCGAGGCGGGGGGTGGGGCTTGCGGGCGCCCCCCCTTCCCTGGGAGGTGAGGCGGGGGGCGGAGCCGATGAGCGCTCCCCTCTTCCCTCTTTTCACCCTCCCCCTCCTCGGGAGGCAAGGCGCGGGGCGGAGCCTGCCAGTGCCCTCCCCCTTCCTCTGCCCGCCTCCCTCTCTGCGGGAGGTGGTGGGGAGGGGGAGGCGAGCGGCGCCCAGGGTGTGGGCGGAGGATCCAAGGCCAGGCGCGGTCTCGGTCCGGCTGCCCTGCTAGACCGGACCACGTGCGCAGTGGGCTCCCCGGCGCTAGGCAGGAAAGGTTGACTGCTGGTGCGGCCCCAGCCCTGCCCTCGAGGGTGAGCTCTGGAGCCCTTGGTGCGAGTGGAAAGGTTAGGGTTGGGGAAAGAGGTGGAAGGTTTGAGGGTGTCCACGCGTGGGTGGGAGAAGGAGCGAGGTCCGTCGGACTGTCACGATTCAGCAGTAAAAATGCTCACTTTCTTCAGTGGGGGAGGACGGGAAGGGGGACGATGACAAAAAGTCGTGGTTATCTTGTAACGTTGAGGGGGTACTACGCTTTCCAAACAAATGGCTTTCGTATTCTTGCCCCCAGTTTCCAATCCTGCTTCTTCTCTACGAACCTTTGGGATGGAGGATAGGAAATGGTATAGGATCAGGCTGTGGTCAGCTGGCGGTAGTGATCGTTAGTTGAAGTAAATGTTGTTGGAAAAGTTTCTTAGTTTGATAAAGTGATTTTTTTTTTTTGTGAATTAATGGCTCTCAGTTTAAGGGCAGGTGATAAATTTTCATAGGTTTTCACCAATAATATTGAAGTATTAAGATTTAAGTGGTTGGGGCAGCGTTGCCAATAACCACTGACCCAAACTGGCTAATATGGTAGTAAAGTGCTGCATTAATAGAATGCTAACTATGTTGAGTTTACTGCTGGAAGTAGTAGACAAATTCATGATAGATTAGTGTCTGGAGGAGCTGATTTTTGAAACTATGCAGTAGCAAGTTTCCTCTACATATTTGGTGGGCCAGTAAGTTAAACAACCATAAGAAAGAAATTATATTGTATGACTTTTGTATAATAGCACATAGTGTACAGTTATGATGATTTCATAAAAAATTGGGGTTGGTTATAAATAACAGATATATATGGATATAGTCAGAGCAAAGGTTGGGGAATCTGAAAGTCTTTAATGATTAACTCCTGACTCTAATCTTTCATACATATGCTAAGTACTTAAGAATGCAGATTTTTCAGGGTTCATTAGACAAATTAATATTTTATGTTTGAGGCCTGTTATTAGAATCTCATAAATAGGAACCATTCAACCACATGTCAACTATCCTTACAATTCTGTGGCCTAATTGCATTAAGTTGGTCACCCCATGAGCAATGTGTAATTGTGTAATGGAAAAAGTTAGGCCAGATGGCATGATAGCCTCTGCCTAAATCTTGCTTTTGTTTTCTGGGTCACAAAATTCACTTCTTAATTAAATGTAATTAGCTGGCATAAAGAATAGTTATTCTTAACGCAAAGCCCAGGAAATACAAAACATGAAAGTATGCTGATAGTATTTACATCCTGTCTTAGGTACCTGTGGGTTGTTAGGCATATTCAATGATGTTGATATAAATATTGATACATTGTAGATGTTCTAATTTTCCTTTAAGCATCTCATCGTATATTCAGCTTCATTACTATACATTAAGTCCTCATTTGTTTTAATTTTGTTTACTATCCCTTTAAAAATCAAGTAGATAACTAAAGTTTAATGATTCATCTAGGTACAGTTGATTCAAATTACTGTTGCTTTGATACTTATGGCTTCTGAGAGTGGTATGGTTTGGAGTTTGTGTCTTATGAAGATGGAAGATGAATGATGAAGTGAGCTCCAATAGAGAATGAGAGGGAATGGAAAGTCTGATTCTCTTGAACCACTTTCATGCATTTATTCCAGGGTTCTGTCCTGAGCCTTTTCTTCTCCCTTTACATTTTCTCATTTAGTGAACTCATCAAGTCCCATGGAGTCAACTATCATTTCTGAGCAGATGACTTCCATATCTACATATCCAGCCCTCATATCTATGCTGAATTCCAGTCCCACCTACCCAATTAACTTCTGGATATCTCCATTTAGATGGCCCACAGATTTCTAAAATAGAACTCATTATCTTTTCCCCAAACCCATTCCTCCTCCTAACTTCCTATTTGTGCTGATGGCACCACATACTTCTAGTCATCTAGCTTCATAACCTCCAACTCATCGCCAGACTCTTCATTTTCCCTCATCAGCCGTATCCAAAACAGTTGCCAAGTTTAGACATTTCTACCTCATCAACATGTTACTTCCCCTCATGAAGTCTGTGTTGAGCCAAATTGTCCTACTTGCTATTCCTGGTACGTAGCATTCCATCTTCTTTTTCTGTCCCTTTGCATAGTCTGTTCCCCATTCCTGGCACACCTGTCCTTTCTCACCTCCACCTCTGAACCCCTATCTCCCTTTAAGGCTTAACTCAGCTACCATCTCCTTCATGAGACCACCTGAATCCCTCAGTTGATAGTGCCTGCTTATTCCAAATCACTTTGTATTTTTGTAGAATGTATCCTATGTGAACATGTTTTACCTCCCACATATAAGCTTCTTAAGGGCAGAGTGATGTACTTTTGCATTTGTAACTACAGGACCTATCATAGCACCTAGCACATAGTAGCTAATTAGTATTTAAATGCCGTGCTTTGAGGTTTTAAAAGCACTTTACATATGTTATCTTACTTGATCCTCAGAACAATCCTGTGAAGTAGATGTCATTATAACCATTTTATAGGTGTGTAAACTGAGACTGAGAGGTTAAGTGACTTTCCTGGGAGTTACACAGCTAGTAAGTGGCTGAGACAGGATTTGAACCCAAATCTTCCTGACTCCAATTCTAGCCTTCTATCCACTAGGCCATATACATCCCTATTGATTGATGAAAGGTCTTGTATTTGATGAAAAATGATCTTTCTTACCTACATTTCACTTTTAAGTTAGATGTGTGGAAGGGGAAAAGATTGAGAGGATGTTTTGCTATGGCTGTTTGTATAGCTATGTGATATTTGCAAGAAGTTACCCTTGCCTAAATAGTCTGTTCCCTGGAAGGTGGGGAGACAATGGAATGGGATGGAAGAGACGAGACAATTGTTAAAATTGAAAAAAAGAAATAAATGCACATTTATTATTTGAAAGTTAATCCTATCCTTTGAGACTGCTCCTTGTCAGCACCTGCATTTCAAAGCCTTTTCTTAACTGATATCTTCTTGGAACTGTTGACTGTTGGATGTAGATGAGAAAGTGGAACCATTCCTATATGTGGGGCAAAATCCAAGAAGACCACATCCCCTGTTCTTCCCCCCTCTATTTTACAGATGATAACCCTGTATTTTAATTGTATAGGCTTCTAAATCTCTTAAGCCTCACATACTGCACTTGCCCACAAATAGGTAGGTATTCCTGTAAAGAAGCTTTGAAGCCAGGGAATGTTTAACTTGTTATATATTGCCTAAAAATCTCGTCTTGCTGAATTTTTGTCTCCTTGGTCTGTAACTTCTCTGTACATTGTCACTGACACCAAGTCACCTTGACCCTGATAATCAGTCCCATTCTCTAGGAACCATTTTACTCATTCCTTAATTAGAAGCCTTTGTTCTTACTCTTTACCCCCACTCTCTACCTGTGTGGATTTCTGTTCCTTCTTAATCCTTCAGGGCTAAGTCAAGATTTCCCCTCTTCTACAACATCTCCACATCATTCTCCCTTTTCTAATAGCACTCACTGTCAGTTCTACTAAACTTTTTTTCATCTTGAAGTGAAATTGTAAACTCCTAGAGGGCAGCAGGAGTACTGTGTGCAGTACTGCTTTTGTTTGCCCCTTTCATTTCCTGGGATGGTATTAGACTGTGTTACAGGTTTATCAGTGTTTACTGAGTGACTGTCAGGTGCCAAAGGGGTTATTGATAACTAAGAATTAGATGATGTGATTGGAGCCCGAGGAGACAGACTTTCACATGAAATTACAGGGCCAGGTTAAAATATGACCATAGTAGGGACCAGAATGTGACTCTCCTGGCAGAGTGTGGAAAGATCAAAGAATTGGAACCAGTCTGTTCTGTAGAATAGTACAGTAACAGGGCAGCTAGGTGGCGCAGTGGATAGAGCACCGGCCCTGAAGTCAGGAGGACCTGTGTGACCTTGGGCAATTCACTTAACCCCAATTGCCTTACCAAAAAAAAAAAAAATACTACAGGAACCTTGGACTACCTTGATGCTGTACAAATCTGGATATTCCAAGTGGAGAAGACTTATAAGGAAGGGACAGTAGAGGAAGATTATACTTCGAGATGCCTAAAATCAAGAGGGGAGATACTTTTTGAATGTTCAGAGACAAAACAATTGTAAGTGGAACCGGATGGGGATTACAACTCCCAGCAGACGGCATGGGGTAGAGATTTTTATTTTTGCTTTAGCCATATGATTTTTCCTCATGGGAGTACAGCTCCCGTTTTTCAGGTTGTGTGGGAAAGTAGGCTTCTATATATAGAAGTGTGTTTTACAGACATTTTTCTAGGAATTTATCTAGTCAGTACATAGACATTTGAGCAGCTGAAACTCAGACCCTTCAGATCCATGTCTTAGGGAGTCTCTCTGATTATGCTACCATAAGTAAATTTCTTAAGGTGGCATAAAATATTGACATCAGTAATCCATTGCTTCAGTGAAATAATACAGAATGATAGTTGGTATCGTAATACCTTTCCTTCCTTTCAAAAAGCCTTTAGTGGTAGTAATTTTCCAGACTACTCTCATCCCCTCAGGGTTTCCTGTGTTCTGTTACCTGCTTTCTTTGTCTTTGCAAGGAATGACGTTCATTTTTCACCTTGTGCTGAGCAAGATAGACTAGTTGATGT